CCTTCCTACTTTACTAGTAAATATATGTTGTTTAAAAAATAATCACGGGTGATACATACTTCCGTTACATAAGTGATAATGTTTTATTATCTTGTAAATTTCGTATTACATGTAATGTTGCATATAAACGTGAGCTCATAAAATATAAAACACGAATGATTTAGTTGTTTCTCGCCTAAAATTTTTTAGGTTGAGCTGTGTTTATATGGCACCACTTATTTATAACGCGTTGCCGGTGAATATTGCAACTCTTCCTTATCACAAATTTTGTGCTACGTAAAAAAATTGACTGGTGGCAGGGTGCTTTTACTCCGTCAATGATTTTTTTCAAAAGTACTCTACTCAGTCATATCACTTCAGAAATGCATTACTGTAGTAAATATTTTTAATATAATTTTTAACATTTCAATTATAATTTAATTTAATAGCAAAATAATCATCAATTTATAGCGAAATGTGTGTTCTGTAAGCCACCTACTGTGACCACCACATTTTCTGAAAATAAATATTATTAAATCTTGTATAGCAATAGTACACTTTTAAATAAATATGCACTAAATAATTAATTTACCTTTGCGGTATACTTATTTATTTACTTTTGACACTCGGATAAACTCAGACAGCCCATCAATTAACTTAATATAAATTAAACGGATATAATGTAGGTGATACACAGTATGGTAAACAAGTTCCCGACTATATACTAAGCGGACATTAATAATTAATTTTGCCAGATACCTATTTACTGTACTAAATTATGCTACCTACGTTTTTTAAACCACGAATATAATCGTTTTATTTAAGTAAATTGTGACAAAAAAAATATTGCTTGAGTTAGTACTAAGAGTAATATCTTTTTATTTATTTATGACAACTAACAAAACATACACGAATACATAGTTTACAAACATGTTTTACAAATATTTGCTGAGTGTTGTCTTACTTACAAGTTGCCACGGCATGGTAAGGGACAGTTACATCTAAGATTATACAATGCAATATCTATAATAATATACAAAACATACAGAACATCGTCGAAATTAATTAGAGACAGCAATGTATTTATAGTGGTCTAAGAAGGTCTAAATGACGCAATAACTTTGCTTTTAAATTTTGGAAGACTGTTTGAGAAGATGTCTACACCAATTTCACGATTTTTCGTCAGCTTGTTATACTGGCTTTGTAAGTAGTGTTCTGACCCAAGTTGATTTTAGAAGTTTTAATGGGACCTTGAGGGAGCATTTACATTTATTTGCTCAACAAGAATGGGGCAGTCTAAGTCACCATTAACTAATTTGTAAAGCAAAATCTGATCCAATAACCGCCTACGATCGAACAAACTGTGGCGATTAAAATGTTTTAAACAGCTTACATACGAGTACGTCGGCAGCAGATTTACTTAATTACACTGGTGTAAAAGGTGCCAGAGAAAACGCTTTTGGACACTTTCGAGACGTTTGATATGTACCTCGTAGTGTGGTGACCAGACCTGAGCACAATATTCCAGACCAGATCGAACCAAGGCCGAAAAAAGTCTAATCTTAGTCTGTGGCCTTTTAAAATCTTTAGAGTTCCTTATAACAAAGCCTAACATCTTAAATGCTTTAGTTGTTATTTTGTCAATGTTAGTGTGGAATCTAATTTTGCCATCCAAACCAACTCCCAAGTCCCTGACACTTGCAACCTCCTCCAGTGTCCTATTATTAATGGTATATGTCTGCGAGTTCAAGTGAGTACCGCCGGTACGAAGTATGCCAAGAAAGGCAATACTGTACGGTGTTTTTATTAAGGATTAACACTTTAAAATAATAAAAATGCAGTGTAGTAAAGTTAGGACATTTATGACTCTATTAACCCAATATTATATTATTTTCGTTATCAATAGCATTTTGAATATCTCCTGATTTATTTATGATCATAATCCGATTAAGTTAACAAAAAGATAAGGGATTGCTTAAAGTGTCACAAATGTCTATAACATCGTAGATCAGTGGAATTAACCCCATCTGGACAGTAGATTTACCACATAATCATCCTCAAATATATATAGAAATATTCAAAAATCTCTCGTCGTCGTCGTCCCTGTGGTCATAGATTAAGAATACGGAATCTCACCATCACTATTTATCCCGTGGACGCAGACAACAGCACTGCAAATAGAAGGAAAACTTGACACAAACCCTATAACCAGCCGTCTAGCCTGTATGGTATAGTAGGCCTAAGCCTCTTTTCTAAGGAGAGGCCTATGTCCAGAAGTGGACTATTAAAAACTTCTGATGATGATTATTTAAAAAATACTGCAAAAGTTTACATCGTTAAAACCAATCCCATACAAAAAAATATATGAAAAAAATAAGATTTTCTTTCATAAATGAAAGAGTTTTGAGGTAACAAACATCAAAATAATTACGTAATAATATTTTTTATCTAAATCTTTTGTAATCTCATTTATTACTCTCTTGTGCACATATCTATTATGAACATTATATATTACGTACATTTGTATATTTTGTCTAAAAACATATTACATAACATACTAATGTCAATACATGATTATACCGACCGACGCCGACGCATCTAAAACAATGGTGCTTTACAAGCGTCACGCGGCGGTCAGTCTATGAGTTAACTCCTCCAACGCGTAAACAAGCATAGATATTGACGCAGTTTTCACCATCAATTAGATAATTTTGTAAGCAAAGTTTACAATAAGAATAAAATTTGGTTTTTAGAGGTATTTAGAATGTCTTCTTGAAGAAACCTTTAAATGGACTACAGAATTGCACGACTGCACGGATGGCGTAGTGGTTTAAGCGGTCGCCACGCCGCTTACTTCTACGCTGAGTTTTGGGTTCGATCCCCACATGGGACGACACTTTGTGCTTTGGTATAAGGAGCAAACTAGCAGACGGGTCACTTGATGGTAAATGAATACCGCCGCCCATGGAGACCTGCAACTCAAGAGACACAAGTGTGTTACCACCTTTAGAGTGCCCCCTTCGCCCTAGAATGAGAGTAGAAATTTTCTCATCAATATAAAAAAAAAACTCCTTTACGTATTGCCTAAGAATTTTTTTTTTATATATTTTTTTTTCCGTGCGGAAATCCCCTCGGATACCACCTGTCGGTGGCATGTCGGGGAGCAATTTTATCACCCTGCTTATTTTTTATTTACTGTTATGTAATGATTATTGTGTCTCTTAGTAGCTTTTTATATATTACCTACTGGATTACTCGTAGACGACTGGACCAACACGAAAAAAACATTTTTTGTTTGAAGTTTTATACTTTTCAATCGGGCCCATTGTCGCCAAGTCAGGATTTGAAAGTGGATCAGAGAGAATTCTTGAAATATTACACATTTAAGGTGTGCTACCTCCCGCACATTTAGTTTAACTAAATCTCTACGTATACACTCACTTTTTTTCGCAAATTATTAATCTGTTCCAAGGGGCGTACACTCGCATTTTGTTCTGATCTGGAATTTTCTAAAGTTTGTACTAGGGATGGCATTAAATCACAATCGCATGTGATAAGTCATATCACCTGTAACTAATTCACAAAACCATTGCGAAATATTATTATTATTAAGCACAAGACTCGCGAAAGGTCTAAATCTTAAAGAAATGGTCGTAATCTTTGATAAAAGGTTTTGATTGATTTTAATGGCAATTATCTTTGTCTATGACGTAATCACAATCACATGACAAATCGCAGTGACTAAAACCAATCATTTGATCAAATTAATGTGATTTAAAAAACAATTTCCATGTCTAGTTTGTACACCAAACTGCTACAGGTCAGCAATGGCGTCATCTAGAATTTTTACCCAGCAACGCGCGCGAATGACAATACGAGTATTGTTGATATTGCCTAGTAGCGCCACAATTTGTTCTTGTGTCGGCATAAAACATTGCATTAATATGATTAATTTCATATTTTCACGTGAAAATTGAACAAACTCATACACAGCAATTCAGTTTTATTTATCACCCGATTATATTTTAACCTAATATCACAAGAACATTTAACAAAGATATTCGAAAAAATATTAGAACAGTGTGTTCCTAATTTCAATAGTAATTATTGTTTTTTTTTTTTATTGTAACAGTATTTATGGCCAGACTGTGTATTAATAAAATTGGCTTTTTTTTAAATAATTAAGCTCACTAGTGTGGATCATGCATAATAGTAAGCGGGTTCCAGAGCCTATAAATTAAGAAATTTATTGTTGTCACACAATATGTTGCCAAATCTATCCGCCTCTCCTCTGGAATTCTTTTAACATTATTTTCTAATAATTTTTTTTAAATTGCTACAGCATTCCATCACTTTTCGTTACCATTATATACAATAACTGGTGATCCGCACCGGCTTCGCACGGGTGCGATATAGATTTCCACTAATAATGTGGTGTTAGTGTGGAGTAATTAATTATACTATTATTATTATAACTATAGGACATCTTTATATGTACAAAAAAGGTCCCAAGGATAAATCAAATCTATTAACTTCATATTATGTATTCTTCAATGTAACAAAATTTGAATGTTTCAAGGTTGGTCGGATCAGGAGTACCCCAAAACTGATTTTGTATAGAGTCTAGAAGAATAGAATTAGCTGTTGAGGTATGTAATGCTTGAAATTCTAGCACATAAATGTATTGTATCTTAGAAAAGTAAGTAAGTCGTTGGACAAAGCAAGTAACTACTATTACTAACAAGAGATCGCTTGGGTGCTCGAAACACTCGTACTTGTGTAAAATGCCTTTGACTAAATTAAATATTTCATGACGGAACATCCAAAACCAGTTTTTATATTCTAATGTCGATTCATAGAAAGAATAGGTAAGCGATATTTGATTGACCACAAGTGGATTTTCTAAATAATAGGAAAAGACAATTATAAAAGTCATTAAGTAACGAGGCTCATCGGTCACAAAGTTATGATATAAAATGAAACCAAACAAATTATCACTCATAATGTTTTTTGAAATCAAAATGAACGCTTTACAATTGGTAAGTTTAAATGCATATAATACATAAACTCTAAATATTTCAGTTTAAGTACTTTCTTTATTTAATTCATATCATTTTTATTGGTAATCTTTTTTTGTTTGCAAAAAGTGGTTTGAACCAAAAAAATAAACATACTTCACCAAAATGTTTTGAAATAATACGAGTAAGCCATATTTATTTACTACTTCAGGTAACCGTGTGGGGTATCATAGCCGCCGCATATTGTCTGCCAATGCCGCAAACGCAGACATTAGTTCCCGGTGTATTTATACCAGCGGATGCCTTCAAAAACCTTCAAGATCGAGCCAATGCTAATGACAGGAATTCCCCTCAACCGACATATAATCCAGGATATCCACCGAATACAAATTCTCCAAATATTCAACTGAGCGGAAATCAAGGAAATCAACTAAATGCAAGTCCCTCTAATATTCAACCAAACGGGAATCAGGTATATCAACCAAACACAAATGTACAAAACTCTCTACCACTGGCGAACCAAGGATATCAATCTAATGCAAACGTTCAAAGTTCTCAGCCGATGACAAATCAAGGATTTCCAACCAATGCAAATCTGCCTAACTCTCAACCAAGCGTAAGTCAAGGCCAACCTAATGCAAATCTACCAAACCCTCAACCTATGCCTAATCAAGTTTATCCACAGAACTCAAACATTCAAAACCTTCCATCAAATGGCAATCAAGGATCTAAACCTAACGAAAATGTACAAAACCCTCAACTAATATCCAATCAAGGCTATCAACCAAACACAAATTTTCAAAACGCTCAACCACTTACTAATTTAGGATTTCAACTGGCAACGAACATACAAACCCAGCAGCCAAGCAATCAACCCTTAATAACATTTCGAACAGCACCAGAAGTAAATCAACTGGGTTCAAGCAATCAACCACAGCAGCCTTTCATAGCTGATCGCATATCTGGACCAAATTCCAATCAAGTAACTGTCCTACCGTTAAATCAACCGACTGTGCTTCCGATGAATCAACCAAATGTATTTCCGCAAAATCAAATAACGACAGCACAACCTGGTCAAGCAATTATATATGTTCAACAACAACAGCCAAATCAGCAAACAATTTTCGTACCGCAATCAAACCAGCAAGCACAGCAACCTTTAGTGTTTAATCAACCGCCTAACCAAGGATTTGGAATTCAGAATGGACAGCTTAGTCAACCGACTAAAGTTGTATTTGCTAACCCAACTTTCGGCAACCAGGTCCAGAACCAAAATTCTAACTCTGTGTACACGTTAATTCCATTGAATGGACAGAATTCTAATTCTAATACCGGTTCCTTTTTGTTCCCAATACAATCTGGAGGATCTTCCCCTATCCTGATCAGATCTGGATATTAAAATTGATTAAAATTTTTGACAAGAGTAAATTAACTAACTATGTATTTATAATAGTGAATAAAGTAAGAGTGTAAAAAATTAAAGAATAAAAGTTATGAAACATTTTTGTATTTCATTTCATTCAATTTATAATGATATATTATTATAGTACGACACAAATGGGATGAAATTAAAAACGAGGGTATCACCTTCGCGTATGTGGCAATACCGCTAGAACTACTCAACTGGTTTTGATACTTGATTTTATAATTTATTAACCTAATTTTTATTTTTATTACTTATCGATCTCCTAAAATTTGGTAACACCTTATTAGCATTTCGCTGCCAAATTTGATAGACAATCTTGTCAGAGACCGTGCTGGACATAAGCCATTTAAAAACTTTTATTATTTAAGGGTGACGAACATAGTAGTGCTAAGTTGCATATATATAGTATGGTATAATAGGAATTAATATATAAATAAATAAATATAAAAAATACCTAAGATTTGGTAAAAAATGGTGTAAAATAATAATAATAATAATAAAAGTAAAGTAAAAAAGTAAAATAAAAATATAAAAGGCTAACACTTTTGAACATAACCAAAAAAAGAAACAATTTTGATCCATATTTTCTCCGTTTATTTTTTTTTTACCATGTTACACTGAAAATATTGTTCTAAATCAGATTTCCTGTCCTATAAATTTTTTTCAAGCCAGTTGAACGACTTTTATGTGTAAGTCCACTATTTTTCAAATCCGGACCACTGTGCGTCGTCCGCACCAACGTGGATAATTAAATTGTAAATATAATTGTATAATGTTTTTCCTATGTTTTCTTTTTTTTATATATAACTGTATGTAAATAGTTTGGCAGGCGATATTATTTTATTATTTGACCGGAACAGGATTATTGTTATTCAGGTTTTTGTGAGAACTTCTAACTCTTGTGATATGGATTCTTGTAAGGAAAAATAATGTCAACAATTTGGTTACAATATATGTAGATTTTTATTTTGGTGGTCAATTTTAGTAATAAATACAGGCTTACGAAGTTCCTTCTCTCCAAGTTCTACTAATTAACGTGTCAACATTTTCTATTATTAATATTTCAAATTTAAGAAATTAAAATATGCTACCGAAAGTCATGCAAGTAATGATATGTTTGAGACGTTTGATATGAGATAAAGTTAAATTGATACACATTTACACTGTTACTAAATAACAAACTAGTTTTTAAAATACCTAAACCTAATGTTTATAACAAGCATTGCAATTAATATTATATAGCTACTACATCGTTTATTTTAACGATAATTGATACCTAACTACTGATACTTATTTAGGTGCTTACCTAATCATTTGGCAGGTTGCTAGCTTAATTAGACACAATGAAGTTATCTAATCATATCTACGTATTTACGGATTGCGATATCAAATTATTGCTTTAAGAAATGCATTCAAATTTTTTAGATAGTTATTTTATTATCTTTTTTCATATAGAAGACGATGACTAAGATAAAATAACTTTTTTTTAATATTTATGAACTTGCAAATGAACTAGGTTTTCATTTATTTATTTAACATAAGGCTTACCAACTAAAATACATACTAGATATTTCACAAGAAAACATTCATACAAGTATAATATATGTGTATGCTTTTAAATTAAAGGTGAGCACAGCATTTTCCATAAGTTCCATTTTCCATACATGTAGGTTTCAAAATTAGATCTACCTTAACAAGAAAATTATGGTTAGATAAAAAACTAAAAGAAAAGCATATCACAATCAACTAACTTACTATAATACTATACTATATATTGTTTTTTTAATTGTAGCTGTTTTTTCGGAGAAAATGTCTGTCTATTTTATTACAAACAGCCTTATATTTTCCGAGGATATAGGACAGAGGTGTGTTGCTCCCATAATTGTTACGACTAGTTTTAATTACAAACGGCTTATAGTTTACTAATCTAGCAGAGGGTCTGGGTATGTTAATATTTATTTTGTATATTAATGGCGTACAATCTACCCCATGATTATATAACTTTTGTAGAAACAGTAAACCCAGGTAGTCTCTCCTCCAATACAATGGTTTCATATTGAAATAATTAAGCCTCTGTTTATAATGCTTGACAGCATGCCGAATACCAGATGCAACAGACAGCCTCCTCACAAACTTTTTTTATATGCTTTCAATGCGTTGGATATTTTTTTTTTTTTTAATAATCAAAATGTTTATTTCATCTCCACAAATTACATTTTGTTTTATATTTAACAGTTGACAGGAAAACTGTCAAGAAATTTGCAATTTGTGGGAGATCTGGAGTCTAAACTAAGCCGAGGCCTGTACTATAGATCTCCAGGCCCCCCATTACATAACACTTAGCAGATTTGTCAACATGTCAAAAGCGTACTAGAGTGTGTGAATGAGTAAACAGTAAAAAGATTTTGCATTAAAAATATAGAATAGAATAGAATAGAATAGAATAATCTTTATTGTACACCAATTCAGGATATTATACATACAATAGTATTCAAGGTTAATGACCATGTACAAATGGCGGCCTTATCGCTAAAAAGCAATATCTTACAGGCAACCTTTGGATGGACAAATAGACTGTAAATAGGTAATTTCATGGGCAGATTTGGTGAGAAAAAGTGTAAAGGAAACTAAAAACAAAAAGAATAATATTTATACAGCACAACAGCATTCCTTTGACAATTACAAAACAAAGTAGTGTCAATTGTATACAGCAGTCAGTCCCAGCAATACCTACTTATATAAATACAAGTAAATACTAACTATAAGGATTATATAATACATAAACAAATACATAAACTCTACCATTCATTTGCAGAGGAATACAGCAGATAGGATATGTTATGTAAATAATAAATTAAAATGACAGGTAGTGTTCTTTGACCATTTTTTTAAAGGTAGATAAAGTTTTTGCACGTTTTATAGGCATTGGCAAAGCATTCCATAGTCGGACAGCCTGTACAGTAAACGACTTATCGTAAAACGTGGTACAGTGAGATGGTACTGCCAGTTCCAGAGATTCAGATGACCTCAGGGTCCTCGAATGTGTGTCACCAAGGAAAACAAATCGTTCCTTTAAATAAGTTGGAGTAAACGGATGAAATATAATCCTATAAAGAAGGGAAAGAATATGAGCATTCCGTCGAAGGCGAATTGGGAGCCACTTAAGCTGATTGCGATATTCAGATACATGATCATATTTGCGCAATCCAAATATAAATCTTATACAAAAGTTTTGAAGGCGCTCAAGTTTATCTAGTTGCTCCTCCGTGATATCGAGATAACTGACATCAGCATAGTCGAGTATAGGAAGGAGGAGGGATTGTGCAAGCGCAATTTTAGTTGCCGTTGGGAGAAAATTGCGTAGTCTTCGCAAGGATCCCGCCGATGCAAACAGTTTTCGACTGACCTCTCGCAATTGGGGGCCCCAGGATAAGGTATTATCAATGTAAATCCCTAGATTTTTAACACAAGTACTCATTGGTAGTGCAGTACCGTTGAACATTATATTCGGTAATTGTGACCAGTCTATTCTTGATACCATCCCGGGACTGCCCACAACAATAAGTTGGGTCTTAGACGGATTCACTACAACTCCATACTCATTGCTCCAGTCACACACGCGCGCCAGGTCTAGACTAATAGCTGAAAAGGCTTCAGATAATTGATGTAACGGTGCTTGTGTATATATTTGAAAATCATCTGCATAAAGGTGGTAGGATGAGGCTAATGACTTAGTGATAGAGTTTATAAATATAGTGAAAAGTAGAGGAGATAAAACGCCACCCTGTGGGACGCCAGCAGACGTTTTACACCAAGATGAAAAAGATTCTTCAAGGCGCACACGCTGCCTTCGACCAAACAGGTAACTTTGAAACCAATCAGTTACTGTTGGAGATATGTTAATAGAGCGCAATATGGCCAGCAAGATGTGGAAATCTACACTATTAAAAGCATTGCTAAAGTCCAGTAAGGAAAGAACTGTGAGTTTTTTATTTTCCATTCCAAGCCTGATGTCGTCAGTAACATTGATCAACGCACTTGCCGTACTATGACCCGCACGAAAACCTGACTGGAGAGGACTTAGGAGTTGGTTTTTATTAAGGAATGAATTTAACTGGATGTGAACAAGACGTTCAAGGACTTTTGAAAGGAAGGGCAATATGGAAATGGGGCGATACTCGGAGAAGGATGCGGGATTCTTCTTTTTAGGTAGTGGGATAAGTAGTGCTTCTTTCCATGCCTCCGGAAAAGTACTGGCAAAAAGGGAGTAATTTAGGATATGGCATATTGTAGGTAACAGTTCATCAAGAATTGGTTGGATCATGTTACGGCTTATGCAATCGTTTCCAACAGCATTGGAATTTATGGACATAATACACTCTTTAACACCACAAGCAGTTAATTGATTAAAACAGAACGGTGAGTAATTAGGAGCTGGAAGCGTGGAAAGATATTGTAAGGTATTTGCCTTACTGGTCTGGTTAAATTGAACCGAAGAAGAGAAATGTTGATTTAGCAACTCGATGTCGATTTGGTTGGAATCAGAATGTGAATATGACTTACCAACTCCCAATTTTTTGAGAAACTTCCAAATTTTTGCCGGGTCTCCGTTCTCGACCGAATTGTGAATGTATTGGCGTTGTGATTTCCTACAAGCCTTACTGCAGAGATTTCGGATGGTAATATATTTTTCTCGGTTTATAGGTGTTGGCCGAGATTTAAACTTACTTTTGGCTACAGCTTTTTTAGCTATTAAAGCTTTTATATCGTCTGTTAGCCAAGGTGAGGGTAAATGTTTAAGCCTGACAGCCCTGACCGGCGCATGTATATCGTAGAGGCTGGTTAGCTTAGCATTAAATAAATTGATTTTTTCATCGATGGAATTCATTTCTACCAGCAAACTCCAATCGATTCCAGCAGCATCTCGTCGGAGTGTTTCGAGATTCATGTCATTAAAATTGCGCTGCATAAGG